TTCGCCACCCTCAAAGCAGCTGTCCAGTGAACAGGACGGTGTCTCCCAGTCGCAACAAAGCGAGAGAGGACGCTGAGGGGAAAAACGAGGTCAGGACGAGTACAAGTCATCAGGTACATGAGGCAGCCCACAAGCTCTGCGTAGGGACCACTATACTCAATGGCTCGTCGGGAAAAGGGACGGTGAGTCTGTGGTCAACGGCAAGAGGAGTGGGCTGTGTGGTGGAATGCTGAAGCCCGAACCGCTGAAGGACCTGCCGCACCATGTGTGACTGTGTCAGTGTGATGGTGCGAGCGGCTCTGTCCCTGGTGATCTGCAAGCCAAGGTAGCGGCGCAGCTCACCAAGGTCAGTGCATGTGGGTCTCTTCTGCAGTTCGGACTTCACCTCAGCCAGTGCAGTCTTGTCTGCTGTAGCAAAGACCAAGTCGTCGACGTAGACGAGGACGAAGAAAGGTGTGGGCCCAGAACGAACGAACAGCGACGTGTTGGCGGACGAAGGACGAAACCCGAGGGCAGCAAGAGTAGTGCGCAGCGTGGCGTGCCACTCACGGGGCGCCTGGCGGAGACCGTAGACTGGTCGCCTCAGGCTCCACTGGGTACCAGGCGGGAAAGTGCCAGTGAAGCCAGGAGGACGACGCAACCAGATCTCCTCGTGCAGGCTGCCCTGGAGAAAGGCAGTGGAGAAGTCGAGGGAGTGCAGCTCGTAGTCTCGCTGTGCTGCAACGTGAAGTAACACCCGAAGAGTCGTCATCTTCGGGGTCGGGGCGAAGGTCTGGAAGAAGTCAACTCCCTCATGCTGACTAAAACCTCTAGCCACGTAGCGCGCCTTGAAGACAGGCGGCGATCCAGGCGGCCGCTTCACCTTGAAAATCCACATGTCGTCGACTACGTTCGTCCCAGGTGGGGGAACTGCGTTGACGTAAGTGCCTGTGGATCTCCAAGACGCCATCTCTGACTCCATGGCCGCTATCCACTGAGAAGCCCACTGCCCTGACACTGCCTCACGGTACGTGCGAGGAGTCGGTATGTCAAGGGCGTCAGGGTCTCCCTCAGGAGCTAGCAGCATGGCACAGAGATGGGGAGAAGCGGCCGCCAAGAACTCCAGCTCAAACTGCCTGTCCTCTAGGACGTCACAGCCAAGGGCAGACTCACCCCCGGCGGACAGAGGACGGGCAAAGTCAAGGCGACAGTGGCAGACAGAGCCGAGACAGACGATGGAGAGGCACGAGGGTCCGTGACTAGAGAGGCGAGAACACGAGTGACAACAGGACGGGTGGCACGGTAGTAGTTAGTGATAGGGGTAGAGGTGGAGGCTGTAAGAGACGACTCAGGAGGTGACGGAAGAACAGACTGAGACGGAGAACGACGAGGACTCGAATGAAGTAAAACAGTGCGGAGGTCGTCAAAAGGAGACGAGGGACGTGCACGAGCGGGACAGCGAACTGTCCAGTCGTGCGGGACAACCGGAGGAGACAACTGTGACCGAGGAGGAGAAAAGACAGCCGGAGAAGAGTTCGGGGGGGGTAACGTAGGACTGTAAGCAGGAGGAGACAGTGAGCGGTCTGGAGGAGAGGAAGGAACTCCAAGAGCCCGAAGGCCACTCACAGGTGGAAACAACGGCCGCAAGGGCGGTGGGTGCTGCGGCTGCGGCGGCTGCTGCTGCTGCTGCTCCTGCTGCTACTGCTCCTGCTCCTGCTGCTGCAACTCCTGCTGCTGCCGCTCCAGCCCCAGCCTCTCCTGCTCCAACCGCTCCCGCTCCTCGCGCTCCAGCTGACGAAGCCTCTGGAAACTCGTCGGGTAGCGGTGGGGAGGTGGGGTAGGCGCCACAGTAGCAGCGCCTTCAGCTCCAGTCTCCTCAGAACTAGCACCTCCAGCTCCAGCACCCCCAGAACTAGTGTCCCCAGGACGAGCACCCCCAGAACTAGCACCGCCAGAACTAGCACCGCCAGTGCCAGCACACCCAGCGCGAGTACCTTCAGAACGAGCACCTCCAGCGCCAGTAGCCTCAGCTCCAGCACCCTCAGAACTAGTTCCTCCAGCGCCAACTCCCTCAGCTCCAGCACCCTCAGAACTAGCACCCCCAGCCTCCGTGCCCCCAACACCAACACCCCCAGAGTCTACTGCAACCTGTCGCGGTAGTGCCGAAGGCCGCTGCGGTGACTGTGAGGAAGACTGTGGGGAAGGAGACGGTACCTGACGTGCTACCGAGAGGAGAGGGGTAGCGTGGGACACACCAGACGGGGCAAAACCAGGGGGGGCGGGTGTAGCGGAGGAGCGGGAGCAGGAGGAGGAGAGGGGGCGAGGAAAGGGGAGGGGGGGGAACCGGGAAACCTTGACAGGGGTACCCGGTGTATTAGGACACGGACTCGCTAAACCGGACTTCACGAGAGTCAAGGAACCGGTGGAGGGGCGGGTGGTAAAAGGTGTAGTCAGAGGAGTCCACCGGGAAACCAAGGAAGACACAGGGGATGGTGCGGGCCGAGAGCTTGTCCGCAGAGGTGTCGCCGACAAGCGCAAGGCAGCCCCAGACAAGAAATTCCGACGCAACACCAGGGGACCCGGTCCAAAGACTGGTCGGTGAAGCCCCTGGCCGAGAGACACGTGGTCAGAGGTTCAGCTGGTGGGCGGCGTAGCGAACCGCGTAGGGCCACAGAAAATGGGGCGCACGGGCATGAATCATGGAGGTACGGGCAATCTCCATGACCAAGCCAATGCGGCGCTCAGCAACCCCATTCTACTGTGGGGACTCTGGAAGCATCTAGGACTGGGTGATGCCCTCCTCGCTACAGAATCCGCGAAGAATGCCGGAGCGAAACTCACCACCACGGTCAGAGTGAAGACAACTGACACGACGGCCACGTGTGGTCTCAGTAGCCAGCAACCACCAGATCAGAGTAGAAGTCACATCGGACTTCTTCGCCAGAGGGAACACGGTGGTGTAGCGGGAGTAGTCTTCAACGACCACTAGAAAGAAGCTCTCCCTCTCGGGCCCAGGGCGAGGGGCGAGGCCCCAGACGTCCAAGTGGAGAGTATGGAAAGGTGCAGTAGCAATGAAAGGGAGGAGGAGTGAGGAGTGGCGCGCAGCCGACCCTCGACGCAAGGAGTGCATGGCGATGCAGGCGAAGGAGGGAGCGACGGAAAGACACGCGGGAGACCTGAGACAAGACGCTGGCTAGCCATGATGCGGAGGCGTGGGAGGGACGGGTGACCAAGACGGTGGTGCCACAGGACTGTCGGGTGGGTGAGTGACCGACAGGAGCACGACGCAGCAACCTGACCGGACATAGCAACCTGACGGACACAGCAACCTGACCAGACACAGCGACCTGAGGGGACGCAGCTACCTGGGAGTGCTCAGTGTGCAGGACGTAGAGACCGGAGCGGGGCTCCTTGGTGAACGTGGCAAGAACGACACCAGTGGCAGCGTCCGAACAGACCGCAGTCCTCCCGTGCCCCAGAAAAGTAACTCTGATCCCTCTATCCTGGAGGTATCCTACACCCACCAAGTTCCGAGTGAACGAGGGGATGTGGAGACCTCTAAGGACACCAGAGGGGACAACCGGGCACGATAGAGTGGTAGAGCTGCGTGCAACTGCTGGTCCTGAAGTATGATCAGACAGGGCAACCGGAACTGGAGTAAGAAGCGGTGTGAGAGTCGTAAGGTCGCGGAAGAAGCACTGCGACGCGCCAGAGTCCAGCGTGAAGGACAGCGACGCCTCAGCCGTAGGTGCACCTGGGCTGGTAGCTACACAAGCACCTAGTGCGGAAACACAAGCACCTAGACTAGAGAGACAAAAAGCTACACTAGCAACAGACAAAGAACCTAAACTATGAACACGCGAGCAAACAGATCCAGCAGCACTATAGTCAACATCAGCATACATCACAGAAACAGAGTCTAAAACATAAACTAACTCTGCCGCAGACAAGTCCCACAAAGCAAGTCTACGAGAGCGAGCAAGCGGGGCCCAGTCCGGAGCGGGGCCAAGGCCGAACAGTGCGTGGACGCGGTCAGTAAGCTGCGCAAAGCACTGACCCAGAGCGTGGAAACGGCCACAGCGAAAACCCGCACGACCGCCTGTCTGAACCACGTACGGGCAGGGAGGCGGAGTGACACCACGCGACGCCGAGCTGGGCGGACCACCGCCACGACCAGCGCTCCCTGGTCCACCAGGTCCCCACTGCTTAGGCTGCTGCTGCACCTGCCGCTGAACCTGCTGCTGCGGCTGACCCTGCTGCTGCGGCTGTCCTGGCTGTGGCTGCTGCTGCTGGGACTGCTGCCGTCGCTGTGCCGTGTACCACGCGGCCGCACCAGCACCCTCTCCCGTCGGGCCCGCAGGCCCAGAGCCGCTCCCAGTGTCGCCTCCACCAGACGCATTAGTGTCACCAGAGCCTCCGCCACCCTCGCCACCACCACCAGCGCCACCACCCTTCCCCCCTCGCTTACCTCCCTTACCCCTGGACCGCCCACCCACAATGGACACGGCCGCAGTCTCCACATGAGACAGAGACGTAGTAGAGGCAAGAGATGCAGTGAAGGTGGGAAGCTGTGAGACAGTGCACCCCTGAAAGAGCGGGGGAACTACGGTGCCCGAGGCGGAGGCAACGGAGCGAATGTTGCTCTCGATGTCCTTGAGAGCGGTCTCAAGGACATCGATGGTGAGCTCACTAGGGTGCTTCCGAAGAAGCTCGTCACGGACAGGTGCAAGGCGGTCAGGGAGACTAGTGGCGATGAAGTGAATAGTGATCGCCATGGGCGGGGGGAGCAGTGCAAGCTGAGCCTCAGTACAAGCAGCACGGTAGCTACATTATTCCCCATCACATGGAAAATCTACCCCCAAACAGGCACCCCTTTCCCCCAATGCACCCGCGTGTTCCTCTTTGTGCCGGCACAGACCTAGACACTCCACCTACGCTATGCTCCCCCATCCCTTAGCCACCATCGGTTGTTGAGACGTCTCAACAACAGCCAGCACAGAGACCTGCCTTAGACACTCGTGCTATTCTGTGCTCCCACCTACCCCTGCAGCCGCCTTCTCCTCCTCGTCCCACTCGCGAATGGGGCACAGAAGGTGCGCGAGGATACAAGCGAATACCACCATCGCTACACTCGCCGCCGCCACCAGCGCCAGCGACAGCACCAACTTTGGGGAGGAGGAGGAGGAGGAGGTGGTGGTGGTGGTGGTGGTGGGAGGTGGAGGGGAGGTTTCAGGAGGGGGAATCGGGGCGGGAGTGGGGGAAGGGGACGGTGAGGGGGAAGGGGAGGGAGACGGTGAGGGGGAAGGCGAGGGGGAAGGGGAGGGAGAAGGTGAGGGGGAAGGGGAGGGGGAAGGTGTGGGGGGAGGAGAAGGAGCAGGAGAGGGGGAAGGCGAGGGGGAAGGGGTTGGGGAGGGAGTAGGTCCACCGGGTGACTGCAGGTATTGAACGAGTGCATAGGTACCCAGCCGTGGGGATGTGCACTCATAGCTAGAGCCTGACGTGCTGCTGCTGCTGCTGCTGCTGCTGCTCTTCTCTGCACGCGTCAAGACCGGCAACGTGCTCCCGCCAGCAGCCACACCCCCTCCACCCCCTCCTCCACCAATCACAGCGCAGTACATCCCACCATTATTATCATCACTAGTTCCCATGCGCCGTTCTTCCCCCGCTGCCTGTCCGCCTGGCTGCTCCCCTCCCTCCCCCCCTTCCACCGCCAGCCTCACCTCAATCCGCGCAGACCCTGGCGCCACCACCTCCCACGCCTCCTCCTCCTCCGCCCCAATCGTCTCCCCCGTCCCATTCCCGTCCGCCACTGCACTTGCCTCCCCGCTGCCGGGACCTGTGGCGGGGAGCGGAGGAGAATTTAGAGTCGACTCAGCAATCGCTCGCCCTCCGCCGGGACCTTTGGCGGGGAGCAGGGGGGAGAGGTCGAACACGCGGAGCGCCACGAGGGGACTCATGAGGGCGAGCGGGGTGGAATTTGCGCTCAACTGCGGGGCTTCCGACGGGGGGAAGCGGTAGTAGAGGAGGAGGAGGGGGGATTTGAAGGAGGGGGGGGCGGGGGAGGGAGAAGCTGCGGAGGATGGGGCGGAGACAGTGGAGAAACGGGGAGCGGAGGGGGAAGGAGAGTGGTGGAGCCCGCTTGTGGCGAAAGCGGCTATGGGGCCGAGAAAGCCGGCACGAGTGGCAGTGATGCGCACGCTGCTACTGCCCTTGCTTGGTTTTCTGGCCATAACATCACTGCTGCTGCTGCTGCTGCTGCTGCTGCTGCTGCTGCTGCTGCTGCTGCTGCTGCTGCTGCTGCTGCTGCTGCTGTCGCTGCTCCTGCTCCTGCTCCTGCTCCTCCTTCTGCTGCCGCCTTGGGCGCTGCTTTCACGGCTCTTCTTGCTGCGTCTCCGCGTGCTGGCGGGTTGGAAGGAGCAGGCGGGAGGAACGGTGAGCTCGTACCACCGGAATCCTGCCTTTTGCACCGCTTCTCGTTCCACCACTGCTGCTTCCACCACTCTACCACCACCACTACCGCCTTTCCCGTCGCTGCCACCGCCGCTGCCACTGTTGCTACCACCGACGCTACTGCTTCCCCCCACGCTCCCACCCCCACCGCCCCCACTCTCAACGCCCGAAGACTTATCCGGAGGAGCGCCGGACGGCACAAGAACCACGATAGACCCTTTCGGGAGAGTGTGGTTACCATCTCCCGTCGCAACACCGCCGGCCGTCGCATTGCCGCTGCGAATGGCGTCGAGGAGGGTCCACTTGGCTTGCTCCCACAGCATCTGCTGCAGCATCGCGAACCGGTACGCGTCGATCTCCGCCTGCGAGCCTGAGCCCGAGCCCGAGCCCGAGCGCGAGCCTGAGCCCGAGCCCGAGTCCCCCGCGACAGCCGGCGGGCCTGTTGAGCCGTCGCCCGTCGCTCCCGGAAGTTCCGGCACTGCCTGGATTGTAGATCTGCGCAACGAGCCTCTGGCGGCTCTTGGAGTTTCGTCTGGCGCTCCCGCGACTTCAGGAACTGCGGAAGTTCCGCCTGGTATTTTCTGCGCTGCCTGGATTGTCGACCTGCGCAACGAGCCTCTGGCGGCTGAAGCTCCGTCTGGCGCTCCCGCAAGTTGCGGCACTGCGGAAGCGGAAGCGGAAGCGGAATCTCCGCCGGGCCCTTCCAGCGCTGCCTGGAATGCAGACACGCGGAACGAGCCACTGGTAACTCTGGAAATCTCAGAGGTGTCACCTCCGCCGCTACCGCCACCGTCAGCAGCAGCTGCAGCGGCAGCAGCAGCAGCCGAGGAGGCACGAGTGATCTCGGCAGCTTCAGCGACAGTATTAGTACCGCTACTAGTAGTGCTGGTAGTGCTGGTAGTGCTGGTACTGCTACTAGTAGTGCTGGTAGTGCTGGTAGTGCTGGTAGTAGCGTCTTCTAGTGGTAAAACGGTATTAACATTACGAAGAGAACGATTGCGATTACCAGCAGCATTAGTAGTAATGGCGAATGAGGTCACCCGATTGGAGAGAGCCAACCGAGTCAACCGAGTCACGCCCGCACGACTAGTCTCCCTTTGCCTCGCGGCACCGCCCTGCAACCCGCTCGCTGCCGCAGAGTCCGCGATGTGCGCGCCGATCACCACCAGCACGACAAGTAGCAGCTCTAGCAGACGGATTGCATCAATGCGAATCTGAATGCGAGTGCCAAGGGAGTGGTGTTGAGAACGGAGTGCCTGCTTTTCATGCAGGAAAATGACCGTGGCGCCGTGGTGCCGGCTTGTCAACGAGTGCGGGTCTGGCTGTTGCACCAGCGTTGTTGGTATTAAGTGCCGCTTTCCCAGTGTCGCGGCTTGCAGCGTCTGCGCGTCCCGCGCCGCTGCGGCCCCAGCCATAGCTGCAGCTTCAGAACTTCGGAAGCCCGTCTAGCGTTGCGTCTCCTCTCTCAATCCTTCGCGGAAGGCCCCTTTACTAGTATAGTATCGAGCGTAACAGATTCAGCGCACTTGGCATAACATCACGTTCGAGTCAGTTCAGTTAGGCGTTTCAAATAGAGGAAGGAGCAACAACAATAAGCAGGCGGAATCGTGTGGAGCGAATTTGAGCAGAGCGGAGGAAAGAAACAAGAGCTCAATTACAAAACACACGCGACGGGACGGGACGGGATGTGTGTGCGCCTCATGATCAAAAGCTGGTCCGACGACGAACTCCTTTCCTGTGCTTCGATGCGATTGCAATGTGATGCGTGCAACACACAGTTCGCGAGTCGCGACTCGCGGCCGACGATTGTCGAATTCCGTAATTCACAATTATTGGCGTTCGTATCTCCTCGATAGTGCAAGCCAATAGAAAAAGAAAGGTATACCCGATATCGGGTCGGAAAACCAAAGTTAGACGAATACCTTAATCGAAAAGAAAAGGGAGACATGTCAGCCACAAATAACGTTACAATTCAGACTCATGCACACGCTATGTCACTTTTCTTGTTTCCAGCCCTACATCTCCAGAATTGAAAAAAAATCACGTAGCTAAAGCCCTCCTTGCTACATGTTGAACCCTTGCTAATTGCTAAAGACAACCGAAAAAAATATATAATCCTGGGCACCATATCGCTCCATTGCCATACGTCTGGATTATCATCGTCTCGCGTGACTCGTCATCCACAAGCCACCAACCCGTCAGTACTTATCATCCGTCTCATCCTCCGTAAACCGGGTCCTCTCATTCCCCGCCATCTCCACCTCCTGCAATTCCGCCCCGCCTCCAGGCCCCTCCCCTTCCCCATCCCCCCCACCATGCTCCTGCTCCTCCACCAGCTTCGAGTACGCACTATACAGCCTCCGCGACTTGATATACGTCACCACCCACACCACGAGCAGCACCAGAGCCAGCACGCCGCCCAGCGCGCCCAACAGCACATACTTCCCATTGAGCAGCTCCGCGGATTCGATATAAAGCGTCTGGACGCACGGCCCGACAATAACCGGAGCAGGGAGCTTGACAGACCCGTTGAGGTTGGGGTTGCAGGAGCCTTCCTCCTCGTACGTGTACGTGATGTTGTGGCGCCCGTGCACGTCTGCACACGTGCTGTTGCTCGTCAGGAATCCCGCGCAGGGCTGGCAGGGAATGTCGTCTGGCAGGGGCGCCTGCGGGTTGGGCTGGCACAGCTGCATAGGGGAGAAGAGAGGACGTGGAGAGAGGAGTTGGAGAAACGAAGAGGGGAGGGATGGACGAGAGGCGGATTGAAGCTGTGAAAGAGCAGTCAAGTGGGGTGGGTCAAGTGGAGACGACAAACTTGTTGACCTCGCAGTTGGGCACGATGGCCACAATAAATCTCTTTTCTACCTGATTCCTCTCTCTCTCAAACCACCTTCCCACCACCCACCCTCCCTCATCCCCCCCCTCCCTCTCCCCAACCAACCCACCTTGGACTCCTTCCATGTACTTGAACACAACAAACTTGTTGCCCTTCCAGTTGGGCACCACGACACAAAAATCCCTCACTAGCCAGTTCCTCCCTCCCCCATCCACCCCCTCCCTCCCCAACCAACCCACCTTGGGCTCCTTGTACTTGAAAACAACGAACTTGTTGTTCTTGCAGTTAGGCACCGTGACCATCCAACCCTTCCCCCTAACCCCCCTCATCCCCCTCGCGCCCTTACCCCCCGCGCCACCCGTCCCCCCACCCCACCCCGCACTGACCTTAGGCTCCTTGTACTTGAAGACGACAAACTTGTTGTTCTTGCAGTTGGGCACGGTGACCACAATAACCCAACCCATCCTTCCCCATCGACCCACTGACCATCGACCCAATAACCACTACCTTCCCATCCACCACCCACCTTAGGCTCCTTGTACTTGAAGACGACGAACTTGTTGTTCTTGCAGTTGGGCACCGTGACACAAAACTTCCTCACTAGTGAGTTCCTCCCTCCCCCATCCACCCACTCCCTCCCCACCACCCACCTTGGGCTCCTTGTACTTGAAGACGACGAACTTGTTGTTCTTGCAGTTGGGCACCGTGACCATCTCGTAGTCATCGTACGTGCACATGGGGCACGCAAACGCCGAGTACCACACCATGTCGTACGTGCACGACGTCTCGTTGCCAATAGGAATGATAGCGCCCGTGCGGTCCACCCATGAGGGGAAGGTCAGGGCTGGGTCCAGGGCTGCCTGTTGGCCCTTCTCTGTCCACGCCTCTGGCGCCCCATAGCCTGATGGGAGGAGGAAAGAAAGAAAAAAGAAAAAAGAGCGGTGTACTTTTGAAGGTGCTTCGGAAACAGACCACCCATGAGGGGAAGGTCAGGGCTGGGTCCAGTCCAGAGCTGCCTTTTGGCCCATCTCTGTCCATGCCTCTGGCGCCCCGTAGCCTGGCGGGTGGAGGAAGAGGAGGGGAAGGACGGGAGACCTTTTAAGGTGCCTCAAAAGCGGTCCACCCACAAAGGGAAGGTCAGGGCTGGGTCCAAAGCTGCCTTCTGACCCACCTTGTTCCACGCCTCAGGTGCGCCATAGCCTGATGGGTGAGGTAGAGCGATGAACGTGATATTGAGCTCACCTCACCGTCCTTCTCCTCCGCCACACACATACCACCCGTGTCCCCCATCACATTTCCGAGACAACTCAAAAGCTAAGTGGCTGTCAGTGAGGTGAGGAAGCAGCAGTGTGGGGTGGGGAAGCACGCACCGGCATTGGGGTCACAAATGAACGTGATCTTGAGCTCGCGATCCTTATCCTCCGACACACACGTGTCCCCCGTCATCGTCATCACAAACCCCCTGCGGAACAGCGCCGCACCCTGCCCCAGCGGCGACAGGTCAATCTTCTTCCCCAGGTTATGCGCCAGCCGGTGCCCCTCCCGGTTCTCCAGCTTCGTCGCAGGGTTTATCTTACACGCGTAGGTATTCATCGGAACCCCGCGCACGCTCGCGCACGTGCGGTTGGTCTTATCCCGGTCGCACACGTTCACGTAGTACAGAGACCCCTCGGACCGGTTCTTAGCCTTGGGGTTGTCAAAAATCGGGCCGAACATGCGACCGGGGTGGCGGCGGGAGAGCGGAGAGAGGTCGAAGATGGTGAGAGGGAGCTTGGCGTCTTCCTCAGAGGCAGGCGGGACGTAGGAGCAGTAGGAGGAGGGGACGGCCACGTCTCCGATGGTGCACTCGCTGCTGCCGGCTAAAGAGGTGGTGCCGGGACTGCAGGGCTGGCAGGATGCCTTGCTTCCCTGAGGGGAGGCAGATTGGGGGGGATTGAGGAGAGGGTGACGGGGGGGAGAGGGAGAAGATGGTCAGAGGCAGCATGGCGTCTTCTTTGGAAGCAGGCGGGACGTAGGAGCAGTGGGAGGAGGGCACAGCCTGCTGCCGGCTAGCGACGTGGTGCCGGGGCTGCACGGCTGGCAGGACGCCTTGCTTCCCTGGAGGCGGGCAGGTGGGGGGGGGGGGGGGGGGGGGGGGGGGGGATCGAGCAGCGGGAGACGGGATGGGGGGGGATGGGAGGGGGAGGGTGGGGCGGAGAGGTAGAAGAGAGGAGGGGGTGAGAGCAGGGATGGGAGAACTCCGGTATGGATGAGCGAGATGTGTCGATTTGCCACGGTGAATTGAAGTTGGGTGAGGGTGAGTGAGTCGACGGGTAGTACCACACAGCACAGCACCACACAACACCGCACAGCACCACGTACAAAGGGCATGTCGTTAAAGGTGTTGGGAGGGCAGGCGGAGCAGTTAGCAGTGAGCCCCTCGCTGTAGAACCCAGCAGGGCACTCCGTCCAAAACGAGCCCTGCCCCGCCAGCTCTGCCCCCTCCGGCACCGGCTCACAGTAGCTCGCACCTCCCCTTGTTGCCGCGTCAATCTGGAGTAAGGGATGTGTGCAGGTGTGGGATAAGAAGCACCGGAATGCAAAGCAGAGGGCTTCTGAGTTGAGATGTTTTGAAAGGCGCCCTCTGGCACCGGCTCACAGTAGCTCGCCCGCCCTTTCCCTTGCTGCCGTGCCGTGTCAATCTGCGCTATTGCATGAGGGATAAAGGTAAGGCACTGGAGTAGAGAGGAAGGGAGACAGCAGTGGCTGAATCTCAACAGTGTCGACCCAAAAGGCAGCCCGGAATGCTTGTCTTCCTAGCGGTTCAGGTATAAACGGGTTTTGAGACGTCGCAAAACGCAGGCAAAGGAACTTTGCAGCCCCACCCCTGCCATTCAACCATTCAACCATTCAGTAGGCGCACCCCTCCTTCCAAACGCACAACGCACACTTGGGGAGGGAGTCCAGAAGGCACAAGCGGTATTGCCTTACCACAAGCGGGTGATTGATTGGCGGGTGATTGGCAGGCACGAAAGACTGGCAACTAACCAGAATGTCATAAATAATGGCGCCGTCGGTGGTGTCGTTCTGCTGGTCCTGCAGCTTGATCCAGACCCACATGAGCGTGTGCTTGCCCTTCCTCAGCTCCCACGGGTCTGTTGTCGCCACTGTGTCCGGCTCGCCCTCCTCGTACCCCTCCTGCCGTGTGCGTGCAGCGTGTGTGGGCATGCGCGACAGTGCAGTGTGTACAGGGGGAGGGTGGAAAGGGGGGATGGGGATGCAGCATGCCAGGCAAAGGGCGTGGGGTGAATACAGAGGGAGGAAAGGGGGGTGGGAGGGAGGGAAAATACCTGTACAACATGCAAGGAAGGGGAGGGGTGCAGTGGGGGGGGGGGGGGATCGATGGGGAAAAGCAGAACATAGTAGCAATGATCTCAGGGCAGGCCAGCACGAGGTGGTTTCCTAGGTGCCTCATGTTGCATGCAAGGCAATGCGATGCGACACACACTTGTGCGGAACATCCCTGTGCTGCACTACACTGCGCCACACCGCACCACACCACACTGCACTGCACGGCACTACTAACCTCGCTGGCAATGC